TTTTTTTTTGGGGGGGGGGGGTTGGAAGATTTCGATAAAAAATTCCTGCAATCCAAGGAGAAAGAAAAAAAAATCAGGCAGCATACAATCGAGGAAAAAAATATAATGCAAAAGAAAGTGCTCAAAAAAAATTCCTACATGTAAATCTACTGACGTTCTTCACTTCAGTATTGTGTCCACAGGCTTGCAAGATTTTGCATTTTTGAGCAGGTACATTTGCTTAAAAGAACACTGGGTGAACAGTGGACAACATCACAGGGATTCTGGCGCCCTTTGGATTCTATAACATATGATAGCCAGTGGCGTTCCCTGGCAAAATTGTTGCCCTCCCCCCTGAGAAAATCTGGGCTTAAGATATGTACAAGTTTTGGTAGAAAAAGTATTTTTGGATGGTTGAGTCTGTGTGCGTTTTTTGATAACATAGCTCCAAACTATTAAAGCTTCAAAGGCCCATCTACAGGATGCAAGTTGAACGTACTGAAAATACGATGATTTTAATGCGAAAATGCCAGTTTAGAGAATAGAGAGTCTAGATTTTAAAAAATTTCTGAAGAGGATGCAACCCGATCCCCAACAAGCCATTTGTATGAACAATTGAAAAGCTACAGAGCTATATTTGGTGGAACATTGTTGTTTCGGAGGGCAGTTAAAAATCGCATTATTGAAATCTTGTTTTATTACATATTAATCAAAGCTCATTTTGTGATTTTCCCTTGTTTAAAATAAAGGACAGTAAGTGTTCCTTAGGTTTAGTACAGCAAAGTTGTTGCACGAATCCATGGCTGAAAACGCAGGAAATAGCATTTCCGAGGTTCAAATTTTAAAATTTTCTCGGGGGAGCATGCCCCCGAACCCCCCAAGGTTACAGGTCATTCATATACTGTACCCTCCCCCCTTTTGGAGTACTCTACTCTATCCCTGCATGTTTTAGGTTTTGGTGCAGTTATACATTCTTTGTAAGTAAACTTGCATGCTTTAGTGTGGGGAACATTAAGACATAACCATATAAAATAAAGCACAGTGAAAATTCCTTGGCCCCTCTTGGGATTCAGTTCTCGACCTCCTCTGACTGAAAACCCCTGCTACGTCTCCGATGATAGCTATATGAAAGCCTAAAGTTACTGTAAGCCGTTATTATGAGAGGCAAAAAAAATATCCTGCGGCCAAATATATTGGGAAAAAAATATCTTGCGCTGCACTTTTACAGGAAAAAAATATCTGTCTCGTTCGCCTGGGCGGAAAAAAAATTCTTGCACAGACTAAATCTTCCACCCCCCCCCCCTCAAAAATCAAATGGTCCGCTAAGAAATGCTCTCGTGTGAGTGCACTTAAGTGAGCGTTTTCGAGGCAATAAATCCACACCGTAAACTCGCAGACTCGCAACTCGCATATTAGACAAACTCACAAATTCATACTAAAACTCGCGGAGCAGTAAATTCTGTTGCTTTATTTATTTGGTTATTTTACGGATTTAAAGTTTTACGTGCGTATATTAAACCTGGTGTGGGAATTAAGCCTGGCCCCGAGCATAAACTCCATGCCTGGGAAGTTTCAGCACATTCTCATTTCGGGAACAATTACTGCGGAATTACCTTAAAGATAAACTGTTTAATTAACTGCGGTTTGGGGGGATATATTATCAAAATGTTTAGGTACATGTAACTACCGTAATATACCGACTTACACGAAAACTGACTGACAGTCTGATTTAAATGCTAACAATCTTACAGTTCTGAAAAGTCAACAAAAATTACTTGTCCAAAGAACCTGAACTGAAAAAAATGATCAAGGAACAATTATACTTCAAACTTTAAATTTGCTGATCCTTGCTTTTTTCTCTGCGAACTTATCAATCAGCTTCTCTATTTCCAATATGACAACAGCCAATAACAATTTGGAGTACTAGCTAGGTACTGAGGTCCACATCTTTTAACAGGTAGAGTTCCTCAGAAACACTTGACATACGCTTCAGTTGATTCCTGAAACAAGGAATCATGCAGAAGACTTCTGTGCAAATGTTT